GTCCTAGTGGACAATCATTTAAATATGAGGCAGAGATGTGCTGTCAAAAAAGCCAACACAGTTCTAAACTGCATAAATAGAAAGATAGAATCAAGATCACGTGAAGTGTTAATATACTTTATAATGCCTTGATAAAGCCACACTTGGAATACAGCATCCAATTTTGGTTGCCACGATGTAAAAAAGATGTTGAGACTCTAGAAAGAGTGCAGAGAAGAGCAGCAGAGAGATTAGGGGACTCAAGGATAAAACATATAAAGAACGACTGCTGGAACTGGATATGTCTAGTCTTATGAAAAGAAGGACTAGGGGTGACATGCTAGCTGTACCCTCTTTTGAAATTAATGTTATAAATGCCTCAATTCATGAATTTTGTAATCTGGCTTGCTCTCAAACTTGATTATACGGTTCTAACATTGATCCCTCAAGTGGCTCTTGAATTTTTTGTATAATTCTGCTTGAATCCCATCTGATCCTGGTGTTTTATTTTTTGTTTTTTAATTGCCTTCATCTCTGTCATCATTATTTTATTATTTATCATTTCTCTAGTTTCATCTGTTATTGTCGTCAGATCCCTCTCTTTTAAGTACTGTTTAATATTTTCTTCTAATATGTCCTCTTGGCTATATATTTTTTTTAAAGTTTGGGATGACATTTTTTCCCTCTGACTAGTGATGAAGGTTCCCCTTCTCATCCTGTAGTTGTTGTATTAATTTTTTCACTTTCTCTTTCTTCAATTTATACAACAACCATCTCCCTGGCTTATTAGCGTTTTCGAAGAAATGTTGTTTCATCATTCTAAGATTTTGTATCATTTCTTCTTACAGCATTGAATTAATGTTATGTTTCACTAGATCTTTTTTTCCTTTAATTTTATTATTTTGTGGTTCTTCCTGTAGTGCACTTTCCAATTCTTTGAGTATTTTCTAGAGTGCCATTTGGTGTTTTTTCTTCTCCTTATTTCTTTGTACCACGTTGTTAAGCCCCGGATATACGCTTTAGTTGTGTCCCATAAATTTTGTAGCATTTTGTTCTTTCCGATTTTCCCTAAAAAATAATTTGAGTTCTTTTGCCATCATTTGCACATATGGTTTTTCCTTTTA